GACTTTAGTGAATCAGACATTTATTTTAGTGAATCAGAAACAGTGAGACCAGTGTAGTCAGATTCTCAAATGATTGATTCTTCTTCTAATGAACTGGTACTGAGCCTGTTCTCTTTAATGAATCACTTAGAGCAGCTACTAAATTGCTAGTTACTACTTTCATCATTGCTTCTAATGTTACTGTTTTTACTGTTTTATGTTGTTCCTACGACTTTTGAAACATAATCTTTTTTTATGAGTGTCCGACCAGCTTTTTCAGCTTTTTCTTTCAAGTTCAGTTGAGTAATTTTTCAGGTGAACCAGTGAACTTTGTGACCCTTTTGGACATGTAGCGGCACTTTAAGCAAGGTGTTAAATTATAGAAGACCGGCGAGAAAGCAGAAGCATTGAAAGTAAGCATGAGTTTGTGTGTGGGTCTTGGCAGAGCAGCGCAGTCTGGGCATTTCCACGCCTGTCCTCATCACACACCCCCGTAAAAGGCTGGCATGTGACTAAGCGTCTTTGGACACCTGCTGTCCACAGCACAGGGCACAACTGTCTCGCCTACTGCATCAATGTCTTCTCTGTCCACTCATGCTGTTAATTACGGCCTGTCTTTATATGGCTCATGCTGCCCACAACAGACATGATTCATGAATCTGGGCTTAAAAAGAGAACTTTGTGTCTCATGTTGATGGCATCATTTTAAAAAAACGTTATGACCCTCCAGATTGTGTATGCAAGAAATGGACCAGTAGACACTACATGAAGATCCTGCTGATGTTTGATCTTTTGTCCTCTGTTCATTAAAGTGTTGCAGTGGCATGTTAGGCACAATGTGAAGTACCTAGAATCATATTACTTTTATAATAAAACACTAAGCCATGAGAGGTGTGTTACAGTGATTCAAAGTTTCTAAAACTTCCTTAATTGTGGTAAAAAAAAAATAATAATAATAAGTGTGATGCATGTCCCATCATGTTTTATTGTCATTATTAAGTGGTGTAAAAAGCAATATGGTAAAAGTAAAAATAAAAAGTAATTATTTTATATTTATATTCTATATTTAAATTATATTACAAAAGTAAATAAGCTATTTAAATGTTATGGCTGTTAACTAATAAATGGCCAAGATTATATTTAATATATGTTCTTTACTATTTTGTCTAAATAAAGCCCTAAAAAAAACAAATTGTTTTTAATGCTACAAGTATATTTAGGCATTACAACATTACAGTGTAAAATGGATATTCATTTTGAGATTTGCTAAAGATTACATTTAACAGCATCTTAGATGATGGAAAGGGTAATCTTAAAAAAAAAAATGAAATGGAAATGACCATGTACAATTAAATAGCCAACACTAACTGGTATATATCCAATTTTGGCTGATAAATAAAAAAAAATCTCTAATATCGTTCCATAACATGGCCCAGTATTTTGAACGTTCCTAGACCGAAGACAAAAATGAATAATGAGTAGTATAATAGTATAAATATATCGAACAGTTCAAACTAAGCAACTTCAAACCAAACTTTCTGTTGGTCAACACCGCCAATTTGCATGAAAAACTTCAACCTGACACAAACCCTGCATAGGGAAATGCCCTTACAGTGCCTTGCGAAAGTATTCATGCCCCTTCATTTTTTTCACGTTTTCTTATATTGCTGCCTTATGCTAAACTGCTTTAAATTAATCTATACTCCATACAACATAATGGTAGAGCAAAAAACAGGTTTTTAACATCTTCGCAAATTTATTAAAAATAAAAAAACTTAAATTATTCCATTGCGTAAGTATTCATACCCTTATCTGGGACAGTTAAAATTTAGCTCAGGAGCATTCATATTGCTTGTAGATGTCACTACACTTAGAGTGAAGTTAACCTATGGCAAATTCAATTGAATAGGTATGATCTGGAAAGGCACACACATCTTAATAAAAGGTCTAACAGCTGATAATGCATATGAGAGCAAATGGAGAAGGGCTTTGGTTAGTGTGGTGACCAAGAACCTGATGGTCACTCTAGTTGAGCTCCATGATCTGGAAATAGGAGAAAACTACAGAAAGACAAACACCACTGCAACACTCCATCGATTTGGGCTTTATGGCGGTGTGGCAAGACTCAATCCTCTCTTCAGTGTAGACACATGAAAACACACTTAGCATTTGCAAAAAAGCAACTAAAGGACCCTCAGACTGCGAGAAATAATATTCTCTGGTCTGATGAACCTCAATTCCAAACATCATGTTTGAAGGAAACCAGATCTGCTCATCATCTGCAGAGTACCATCCCAAAAGTAAAGTGTGCTGGTAGCAGCCTCATGCTGTGGGGCTGTTTTTCAGCGGCAGGAACTGAGGGACTCGTCAGAATAGAAGGAAAGCTCAGCACAGCAAAATATAGAGATAGCCTTAATGAAAACCCAGTCCAGAGCATTCAGAACCTCAGACTGGGCAGAAGGTTCACCTTCCAACAGGACAATGACCCTAAGCACACAGCAAGAGTGGCTTATAGACAACTCTGTGAATGTCCTTGAGTGGCCCAGACAGAGCCTGAGCTTGAACCCAATCAAATATTTCTGGAGAAACCTGAAAATGTGCATCTGCCCCCATCCAACCTGACAAAGCTTGAGAGGTGAAGAGGTGAGGTGAAGAATGGCAGTTAATTGCCAAATGCTGATGAGCAAAGCTTGTCGCATCAAACAAAAAACAAAAAAGGACTTGAGGCTTTAAAGGTGCTTCAGCAAAATATATAGGTAAGGGTATGAATACTTATGCAATGTACTTATTTCAATTTTTTTATTTTTACTTAATTTACGAAGTTGTGACAATTCTGTTTTTGCTTTGTCAATATGGTGTATGGAGTGTAGATTGATGTGGGGGGAAAAAAAAGGAAATTTAAGCAGTTTAAGATAAGGCAGCAACATAACAAAACGTGAAAAAAATGAAGGGGTATGAATACTTTCGCAAGGCACTGTACATTAAATTCCAGATTGCGCTGATTTCTAATGAAATGATGAAATGATGCGAAATTTCACTGAGCAATAATAAATGTGATGGCGTGGTTTGTAGCGACTGATATAATTCATATAAAACAGTATAAGTATGTGCAAGAATGTGAGCATAAACATTTCTTGGTATGCAAGCTAGAGTTAATATTAGCTGCATTTCAAAATGTCTCAACTCAATTTATAGTGCAACACAAGGATATGCTGTATCCTCAGTGTTAACTGTTGCACACTGTACAATAGATGGTCAAGTGGACATTTGGGAAACGTTCTGTACTTCTCTTAGCCTTTTTTGTTGTTCTTTTTCTCTCCTATTAATCTTTGAGATATATATATATTTTTTTTTTGTCTCTTCAACAGTGTCACATAGCAGCTATGAATTTGGTTAAAATGTGAAATCTCACACTTCATGTGTTTTCAAGCTGTTGCACCTATTCCTTCTCTTCTTTGTTTGTTATGTCTGTGCCGCAGGCTGTCTCAGTTCACAGAGCTGAAGGAAAGTAGTTGTGCATTTTTCACTCATGGTTTGCTGTGTTCTCCCTCTTAGGGTCCCTTGGCCAACCTCCCTGGAATGGACTGCACATCCTTAAAAACAGCCATGGTGAGACCTGTTTCTTTATTAAGTTTTACTCGAATATGAATACTTTTCCTTCAGGAGGTCAGATAAATTCATGTTTTCAGATGTATTTTGTGATGTTTAATCTGGTCTGAACTGAAAACGTGTTTTCCTTGCACAACCTGCGAAACAAATTACCTAGTGTTTTTTTTTTTTTCCAGCTAACTGATTTTGGTCCATTTGTGGTTTCAGAATTTTTTTACCACCATTCTAGGTGAAATCACATTTCACATGAATTTTTAGATGAAATCACAATCGTCTTTTGTTAATAATTTTAAATCAACAAAACAAATGCCTTCTGAATAGTACTTATAGTTTTATCAAGTCTTTTCTTCGCATTCTTGTTTTGTCTAGCAGTGTGTTATCTGTTTTACTCACAGGTCCAGTTTGACCGTTATTTGGCCTCTCCTGATACACTTGTGATGCCACAACTCAACTTCCTGCTCAGTGCTGCTATCAAGTATGAGTCAGCTTGCTTTTACCACACACATTTTGTCTATAATACATGAATAATTCTCACAAAGGACGTGAAGCATTTTGTTTCAAAATATTACAATTACACACTTTTCCCCTTTTATAAACAATGAGTTCAGGAGCCTTTAAAATGAAAAGTTCACCAAAAAAATGTAACTTCCATGATCATTTAATCATTATTGTGTCAATCCAAACCCATATGACTTTTCTTTCTTCTGCGGAAAACCAAAGTAGTTGTTGAACAGAATCTCTAAGCTGCTCTCTTCCATACAATGAGAATAAAGTAGGATTGGGGCTATTACGCTATAAAATTAACAAAAATTAAAATAAAATAAGTGCAGCATGTTTAATTCTAAGTGTGAAAAGGTATAAAATGTATGAAAACTAATCGTTACACTTTACAATAATATTTCAACATACACAGCAGTTCAAAAGTTTGGGGTCAATAAGATTGTTTTTAAGAAATTAATTATTTTATTTAGTATTAAAGTGAAACAGTGACAGAAAAGACACTTATAATGTTGTAAAATATTTGTCAGATAAATGCTGTTATTTTGAACACACTGTTTTTAACATTGTTTTCAGAATATTTCTTGACTACCAAATCACCATATTAGAATAATTTCTGAAGGGTCATGTGACACTGAAGACTGGAGTAATGGCTACTGAAAATTCAGCTTTGCAATAACAGGAATAAATGAGATGTATTAAAACCGAAAACAGCTAAATTGTAATAATATTTCCCATTATTGCTGTTTTTACTGTATTTCTGATTAAATAAGAGACTTATTTCAGAAACATTGAAAAATCTTTACCAACCCCAAACTTTTGAATGGTAATGTAAATTAACAATGAAAATAGTATATTTAATGGTATTTCACACTTAGATTTTAAGTTCACCTTAAGTGCAAAAGGGAATTTTAAGCGCAAAAAGAAAAAAATACTTTTTTTTTTTTTACATATTACATGTATTCCCTTAAAAATCAGCAAAAATGTTTAAACAGAAAATGTGTATTATTAATTGACCAGTTCAGTCTGTTGCTAGTGTGGAATATCACCCCTTTAAACATTGTATTTTTTTTTTTGTAAAAGTACACCACATTTTCACTCCTCGTATACAATTTAACTCACCATTTCAGTTCTTGTTTCAATTTTTGTCAAACACATTTGTTTACTTGCTACCATTTAGCACAATTTCTTACTACTCAGTCACATCCAACCTAAACAAATAATGGTTTTGACCCATAAAATCGATCCGGCCGCCATTGCATTAACAAATGCGTTTGTCATGGTTCTTGTTTCCCCCTCTTCCTTGCAGTTGGTGCTTTTAGCATCAGCCCATCAGTGTGATGTTGCTATTTGAGCGGTAGAGAGGCGCATACACTGAGTCACATTGTTACTGGGAAATGTAACAGGCTTGAGGAGCACTCACTGTACCTCAGGTTAATGTTCTCTATTAATGGAGATGGACACAGGCTTGGCACAACTAATTAGCTCCTGGTCCATTTCTCTCTCTCTTTCTAGCTATCTCTCCTACACATAAACATGCCGCACGTGACTGAACTCTGCATGGCATACAAAGACAAGCTAAATAGAGATAGATCCATTTGCACACACATCTTTTTTTTCTTTACACTTCATGTTGAAGGGATCAACCAAATATTAAATTTCTGCCATTATTTAATCAGCCTTGTGTCTTTGAAAAATTTTATGAAGTAGTTTTTACTGAACATTTTGATATCCACCCAGGTTTTCCTGTCTGATTCATATAGGAATTGTTCTTTTGGGTCAGATGTGAGTTGTTTTTTGTCCAATTCACAAAACTGTTCTGAATGATTTGTTCATGAATTTGAACTTGATCCAGTTCCTCACTGATTAACAGCTCCCTGGAATCAAAGATTATCAGTGAATAACAACTTAAATCTATTTCTTACATAAACCCAAATGGCTTCTGAAGAAACATAGCAATATGCTGTAGAGTGATAGATGAAATAATTTGATGATACTTTTATGGTGTTTTTGCATCCTTTATGAAGCTTGCAGTCCCTTTCATTGTTATCACATGGAAGAAAGCAGCATTTTGTGTTTCACAGAATGAAAAAAAGTATATGCGTTTAGTACAACATGAGAGTGAGTAAATTACATAATTTTTATTTTTGAGTGAACTTAAGGCCAAGCCTTAATTTGATATGAGGCCTACAGTCATGGCCAAAAGTTTTGGCAGTGACATAAATTTTGTTTTGCAAAGTTTGCAGCTTCAAAAAGGGCAGCAAAGAAGTCACTTCTCTCCAAGAAAAACGTCAAGGACAGACTGAAATTCTGCAGGAAGTACAAAGATTGGACATTAGAAGACTGGTGCAAAGTTATTTACTCTGATGAAGCTCCCTTCTGACTGTTTGGGACATCTGGAAAATCGATTGTTCGAAGAAGAAAAGGTGAACGCTACTGTGGTATCAAAACGTCCTGCAAGAGCGACTTCTTCCAATGATCCATGAGCAATTTGGTGATGATGCGTGCATTTTCCAGCATGATGGAGCACCATGTCACAAAGCAAGAGTGATAAAGAAGTGGCTCAAAGAAAATTTGGATCCGTGCAGGCAACTCCCCGGATCTCAATCCCATAGAGAACCTGTGGTCAGTCCTCAAAAGGCTAGGATAAGCAGAAATCCACAAATTGTGATCAACTCCGAGAACTAATAAGGCAAGAATGGATCGCCATCAGTCAGGATTTGGCCCAGAAGCTAATATCCAGCATGCCAGAGTGAATTGCAGAGGTTATGAAGAACAAGGGTCTTCATCAAGAACTTCAAGGAGAGAGGTTCGACTGCAGTGAAGAAGTCTTCAGGGCGTCCCAGAGTGTCCAGCAAGCGCCAGGACGTCTCCTCCTGAGGAGTCAGCTACGGAATCGGGTTACCACCAGTGCAGAGGTTGCTCAGGAATGGCAGCAGGTTGGTGTGAGAGCATCTGCACGCACAGTGAGGCCAAGACTTTTGGACAACGGCCTGGTGTCAAGAAGGGCAGCAAATAAGCCACTTCTCTCCAAGAAAAAAAACGTCAAGGACTGACTGAAATTCTGCAGGAAGTACAAGGATTGGACAGCAGAAGACTGGTGCAAAGTTATTCTTCTGATGAAGCTCCCTTCCGACTGTTTGGGACATCTGGAAAATCGATTGTTCGGAGAAGAAAAGGTGAACGCTACCATGAGTCCTGTGTTGTGCCAACATTGAAGCATCCTGAGACCATCCATGTGTGGGGTTGCTTTTCAACCAAGGGAGTGGGCTCTCTCATAATTCTGCCCAAAAACACTGCCATGAATAAAGAATGGTATCAAAACGTCCTGCAAGAGCGACTTCTTCCAACGATCCATGAGCAATTTGGTGATGATCCGTGCATTTTCCAGCATGATGGAGCACCATGTCACAAAGCAAGAGTGATAAAGAAGTGGCTCAAAGAAAATTTGGATCCGTGCAGGCAACTCCCCGGATCTCAATCCCATAGAGAACCTGTGGTCAGTCCTCAAAAGGCTAGGATAAGCAGAAATCCACAAATTGTGATCAACTCCGAGAACTAATAAGGCAAGAATGGATCGCCATCAGTCAGGATTTGGCCCAGAAGCTAATATCCAGCATGCCAGAGCGAATTGCAGAGGTTATGAAGAAAAAGGGTCAACACTGTAAATATTGACTTGTTATATTTGTTTTGCCAATAAAAGCCTTTAAAACTTATGACATGCTTATCATTGTTTTTCAGTATACCATAGAAACATGTGGAAAAATAATCTACAAATACTGAAGCAGCAAACTTTGCAAAACACAAAATGTCACTGCCAAAACTTTTGGCCATGACTGTATTTATGTATGAGATAAAGGTTCACATGCATGTAAATTGCTTATTTACCCTTAAGACTGCAGTATATAAATATGTGTAGCTGTACTGGCAGAAGTGCATCTGTAGAGGGCAGTGTTACAGTAGTCTTTAACTGAACCCAGATCAGTGTTTTGTGTGGCTCTACTGTCTTTGCTCACCCAGCCAGCAATATTCAGACCAGTTTATGTAGTTTTCAATTAGGCTGATTCATGTGTGATGTGTTTCCAAGAACCCAGATCAACAGAAGTACCCTCAAAAACCAAAACAGTACCAAGTTATGGCTACCGAAGTGTTCCTGGAGTCATTTATCTATGAAGTTGTTTTGATTTGCTTGGTTTGTTCAGTCACAAAATGTAAAATGTAGTTGTCAGGTTAACCTTGACTGGTTTATTTACCAATCATGTAATCATGCAATAGTTTTCAATGGCTCCTCATTTTATTGTTTGGGAAACACTTTACCTTGTAGTGTCTGTCTAACATGATATATGAAAGTGTAGTCAGTTACAATAAATTCATGGTGTTTGTCCATTTTATTTAATTACACTGATGTCAACATTGTGACGAGCACTGTAACGTAAACTATAACTATTGTTTAATGTAATGAGTTAACTCAAATTGAATGTGTAAATTTAACAAAGTATTCAAAATAAGTCTCTCTTTCTCTCTCTCTCTCACAGGGATCAGATCTTCAAACAGTCCACAGAGCTGGTGTGTCATGCGTATGGAGAGGTGTACAAAGGTGTCACCAACCCTACAAACGGCTATAAAGAAGCAGATTTAGTCCTGCACAGATCCCCACAGCAGGTACAAACCCTGCTGTCCTGAAATGTGCCTCACACACCCTGTGACAAGCAAGGATGTGACATCCAACACACTCAGTGTTCTGGGACTGACACTGGATTCTGGCCGCAAGACCATGTTCAAATACTTGTCTGGTAATGGGGAGGGGTTTATCACTGTTAATTGTTAATTATGTGAAACAAAGACACTCAGTGACAGTGAGTATAGAGAAACATATCTGTCTAGATTTCTCAATTGTTGCTATGTGGACACTGTTGTTTACCAGAGGAGAGGAGAGGACAGCTCACACTGAGAAAAAAACCCATTTATTTTTCCTCCCCATGTGAAGGGAGATCTCCACTAGCAGGCCCAGGGAAGCAAACTATAGACAATTTCATTGCCACACATAATATTCACATACACTCAAATATACATACAGTCATTACATTACATACACAGGGGCTTTTTCTTTCATGGCCACAGAGGCCTGATGTGACTCAACGCCAGTCTGTAAGCAGAAACAGTTCTGTCTTTCTTCTCTTTAAATCACAAACTGCATTCAAATACACTTAAAAGTTCACAGGCTTGTGTGTCTTTCAGTTTTTTCCCACTCAGCCTCTTTTGAAAGAGATAGTTAAATGAAATTTTGTGGCCACCCAGTGGAGAAGTCAACCAATGGGGAGAAAGTCGAAGGCATTCTCTCAGACAATGGTGCTTTCATGTCAGCGGCCCAATGGGCAGTCACGTCATCATTTAATTGCCGACAAAACGCCTGCCAGTGCTCATTCGTCAACTAAATTTAGCAAAACACTGAAAAACAGTAGAGAAAAAAGGCAGTATTACTCTTGGACTATTAATAGAAGTTTGTACCAGTTCTCAAATGGAAGCAGACAGAATAGTAATGCCTAGCAGAAGTGCAGGGTGACAGATAAAAACCATTAGGATGCGAGGAGACTACAGTGAACTCAGTGTGTGAGAGGTGCTGGGGGCTACATGGCCTCTCATCTGGTGGAATATTTTGAGTGTGTCACATGGCCGCATTAAAGGGACTCTCCCTGCGGTGCCCGTAGCCAAGACGCCCCTCACATGCCTCGCATTCAGCTCGAGGCTTTCAGCTAGCGAAAAGCAAAGTCAAGTGAAGTACAAGTGTGACTCTGTGGTGTGGTGTACTGTGAAATGGGTTATGAATATAGATGACTATTTTTAACCCAGATCACATCTGTGGGAGGCACGGAAACCCATTTTGGATATCACACAGCATCTAAACTGGCAACACACCATCTGAACTGGAAACATTTTGTGTGTAGACAGCGCAGGGTCAATCTAGGTAGGTTTCAAAAGCATTTGATTTTTCAAACCCTCAAGTGCAGTTGAGTAATAGGTACATTAAACCCTGAAAGGACTGACTTGTGAAATAATAGTCAGAATTTTTTTTTTTTTTTTTGTTACAATTTATTGAACATTTGATTTGATGTAGTATGATATAGTGAGAATATGGAGTTCATAGTTAAGGAGGAAGAAGAAACACCTCAATATTATTAATATTTAGAGGCCCAAACTAACCAAAATTATGCAATTTGGTGCAGGTGATGATATTTATATGGCCAAAATGTAAGATGATATTCTGATAGCTTGTAATGCAAATCAATAAATCTTTATAATCAGTGAATTACAATATTGCGTTACTCCCTAAAAAAGTAACTAATTATGTTGCTTAGTTACTTTTTATGGAAAATAATGCACTGCGTTACTTTTGCACTGTTTTTGCATTGCCTTTTCTCATCTGGGCTGGGGTTGCTTGTTTGTTTGTTTTTTTAAGTTATATTTTTGGCAAATGTCAAAGCCCTTTCACTCCAAAAATGAAATAATTTGATGTTTATCTAAAGTCATTTTTGCTTATTAGTATGGTTGAATTGGATTATCGAATGTCAGCAGCAAAGACATTTGGTTAATAAAATGGGATTGAATACCTAAAGTATATCTGTGTTATTTAACCTATTTAATTATTGCAGGTTTGCGTCATATTCTAAGTTAGCATTTCACTGTTTTTATTCATTTTGAGGAATACAAAATCTGTTCCAGCAAGTGAGATAAGGAAACGCACGTTTACATTTAGTCTAGAACTACAGTAAGCATCATGTTTGCACAGTGCACAAACGCCTCTGCATTTACTCCCAGTTTCTCCCAACATGAGGACAGGAGAGCTGCCAGTCAATAAATGGGAAAACAAAGCAACTTGCGATACTTATTCAAAAAAGTAAGTCAGATATTTTCTTGTAAATAAAAAAGTAATCCATTACTTTACTGGTTTACTTTGCTGAAACAAGTAATCTGATTACGTAACTGACATTACTTGTAATGCGTCACACCCAACACTGTTTATAACAATATAGCAGACTATTTAAAATGCATATAAATATCAGTTGTCACTCTGTATCTCCCAATAGTATGTCTTAGTAAGATGATATTAAAATGCTAAGTTTTATGATCAAAGTCTTTGTAGTTTTTATTGTGTGGGGAAAAACATATAATGCAATGCAGTACAGTGATGATTCAGAGGTGTACAATTAAACATTCCGCAAAAGCCTGATGTATCACACTCTCATTGATACTCAAAAAAAAAGGATGCATGGATAATCAAGTAGACCTAAGTTGCTTCAATCCAGTAATGTTCATATCAAATATGATACAGTAGGCTTTATAGGGTTAAGTTCAAGTTAAATTAAGTTAGTTGATTTAAGTCATTTTATGTACGAGTTGTATTTTTAAGTTGTTTAATAAATTAAGTTAATAAATGATTGTCCGGATAAAACACACACAATTGCGCATCGTTGTAAAAAGAGATATCCAAAATTCCTTCTCTAAAAATCTTTAAATCAAAATTTTCAACAAAATGAAACAAGAATTTTGATCCTGGTTCAGATTCTGTTCTGAAAATGTGCGCAAATTCATGCTGATTTAATTAGATAATGCCTTGTTTGCATATTTAAACATAATATTTCAGAACACTAATACAAAACAATTGTCCTAATGCACTGTGATTAATCAACTGTGGAAGTATGGTAATATCTATTACAATTATTTTTATTTTATTTTATTTTAAATCCACATTTGTACATTAAGTGAATGTGGCTTAAGTGTGCAAATTGGGTCACTGTACAACACTAGTTTGGGCTTTAAGAAACTATATGCAGTTAAGTTTATTTTAAGTTTCTCTCTGCAGGCCGCACTGTACTGCCAGAACTCTTACATGCTCTTAAATGTTACGCTATGAGACGTTATCTAAGCGGGGTTAATATTGAGGTGTTGGACTCTGTAAGGTGATGACATCATGGCTGTGGATAGACCACTGGATTCACATCTAGACATAACCCACTCCAACCTGTCCATACCCACAATCAACACTGACTAACATAGTCCAGCAAACGAAAGTTGATGAGGTGCTTTTTATAAGCAGACAGGTTTTGTTGCTCAAAATAAGTTATAATTGTAAGGGTATTATCTAAGGGCTTTCTTAATGTTAGTTGTTTGTTGCAACAGGCTGCGAGTCCCCACAGAGTTTTTTTTTTTTTTTGTATATAGAGCAGTGTTATATTTTAGTATCATTGGTTATATATACTGTATATATATATATATA